CAGAGATTTCACGATCTTTAGACCCTGTAAAAATGCGAACCTAATTTTAAAGAGATAATAAATTTCGAAAACTTGTACAAAATGTAACAGGTACTAAAATCGTAGATTTTCCAAAGCCCTGAAATCGTTAATAAATGGAAACATTATTTGTTAAATTTTATTTAATGAAAATCCAGCCCGAATATATTTAAAAAGATTTATGAAAACTAGTCATCAATAATTATAGATATGTGTATACAAATGTATATAAATCTGAAAGATAATGAAGAAAATTCAAGTAGAAAACAATGAGTTATTCTTGAATTAATTTTAAGTGAGCGCAGTATTATTAGAGTTCAATTCAAAACGGAACATAACGGAGCTGTCAAATTTCGCGCCATTTTTATTATTATTGTTGTCTAACGTATTGGGATTTCTCCATACAGACAATCATTAGCTATACCGCCATTATCTTCGTTTTCTCGCCACTATCGAGTGACGCTATATTTTCTTAAACCTTTTATTTGTAAGAATAAAACGTCATTACCACTGTAGATGAATGTTCCGAAAATAAGTCTAAAACAAAATCGACGAACGTGCATGTCACAGTTGATTCCTAATCTACTTACAATTACTACTTTTATTATATGTACTGTCAATTCCATGATTAATATGTGCGATCAGTTTTAAATTACAATAGTCATAATACATCTTACAGAAAACTATGACGGTTCCATATACACGGTTGACGCATAAGTTTTATATAGAACGATATGATATACATAGATAGGTATATATTCGTAATTAAGGTAGATAAATATAATAGATTTCATGCACCACAAAACTCTAGAGTTCTAGAAGGACAATAGAGGAAGAGGCAAATGGTCTAATAAAAATTCCTCAGAACCAGAAATATTAAGAGTGAGACTGCAGGAAAAGTCAAATGGAATGTATGCAATGGTAGAGCAAAGTTTAAATAGAATAAAAAAGAACACGAGCGCAAAAGTAGATACTGAGGCATTCACCCAGCTGCGTAGATATATAGGGTGTTTATCTACACATCTGGGGGAAGTATCGTATACAATATACATATTGTCATGACTGAATTAATAGTCTATGTACACACCCTGTAGGGTGTTCTCATCAAGATTCAACACAGTTGGCTGGATAAAAGGAAGCTCGGGAAACGGGTAAAATAATGTAAGATAGCACATAGGCTGGGACACTATGATGTGCCAGCTTTAAGTATTTGTATTAAGACGTTATGGAACGTCCTTCCTTAGCTGGGGTTAGTGCTGTCCCTATCGCAACGATCGATTCTGAGTTAGTTACATCAGCCAGCACTATTATTTAAAAAAGAACATCTGATCTCTTTGACCTTATAATAACCGTAAAATTATCGTAAAAAAATATGAAAGATTCTAAATAAAATATGTCTAAATTAAATAGACTCTGATTTAAATTAACTAGGGCGATTAAAATATGGAAGTCTGTGCGGACTAGAGTTTGATAATTGCTTTGTAGTGTTCCGACTTTTATTAACAACCAATAAAGTCAACGGTCCAACTCTCAATAGAGCCTCGTTCCAACTCAATTTCTGAATGAAAAAGGTACATTTTCACTATCAAAAAAGCCATACCAACTTTAAATATCTCACTCACTACTTATATTCTATTTTGTGGAGTCCCCTGCTGTATCTATGGAGTCCACGATCCAATACCTTACCCCCATGGAAGCTAAAACCCAATGCAAAAAGAACTTCTAAAATCGGTTCATACGTGACGGAACACTGAGTAGGGATGTCGAAGAAATATCGATATATCGATTTGCGATTTCACGCCCCGACTGGTGTAGTGGGTAGTGAACCCGCCTCTTGGGCCAGAGGGTGTGAGATCGATCCCCAGTACTGGAACAGTATCGAGTGTCTGGATGCTTATATATTTATATAATGTATTTATTTAAAAATGAAAAGCACGTTTAAATATGTTAATCAGTTATCTAGTACACATAGAAGTGTTGCTGAGTTTGAGACTAGAATACGTTGAGTAAAAATGTGTTTTGAAATATTAAAAAAAAAAAACGTTGACTAAGAAAACAACTCGCTAACCACCTTTATGTGTCCAATATTATACTGTAGAGAGATAAATCTTTGTTGCTAACTTTTGACTCGAGTTCTTATTAATCTTCCCAATGCAGTTGCTATTGAATTTAAACCAAATTTTATGAGACACTCCTTTGTTTGCATATTTTAACCATCGTGCATCGGACGTGGAGCCTCCATATAACGTGCAACCATAGACAAACGCCAAACCGGCCTGCCGTCGTCCATTCTCGTTTGGCGTTTCGTCCCAATACCACACTACACATCCCTAAACTACTAATACTAAGAATTAACGAGTTTCTATAATAGGGTTCCTTGCGGTATCAAGACCTCATAAGGTTAGCTTCTGACAAATCGGGGTTTGTGAACAGATTCGTTCCCTTCACAGAGATAGGTCCACATTTCGTCGACATTTACATTATTGCACGAGCGAATCCAAAGCGATCCGTTTGAAACAAACACATTAATAAATTATTGCAAACTAGCGGCCCACCCCGGTTTCGCACGGGTTTAATGTGTTATACATATAAACCTTCCCCGTGAATCACTCTATCTAGTAAAAAAAACCGCATCAAGATCCGTTGCGTAGATCTAAGCATACACAGGGACAGACAGACAGCGAGACGACTTTATTTTGTACTATGTAGTGAAGTATAACGTAATAACTTTTAAAGTAAATGGATTTATTTAAACAATTACCCCCGATTACCAAAGTTGAGTCTTGGGACAAAAGTAGTTGTCTACGACACAGATGCTACCGTTATGAGGTTATCTCCTCGTCGACAATAATTCTAATTCCTTATTTATATAAAAAAAAAAATAACCCAACTGCGGAGTACAGTCGGGCAGAGAACGCGTTTCAACAGTCTTGGCGCTGTTTTAAAAAAAAAAAAACTTTGGCTTCCCCCGAGATTAAGTACGCGAGTGTCGAAGTGACAGCTGTCACTTGTCACTTGTCACTTTGACAGGCGCCCCGCCGTACGCCGACGCGGCGCTGAGTATTGCGATTATTGTTCTACGTCTAAATCAACCATACAAGACACATAATACCGTTCGGTACTTACAAAAAAAGACTCAGGCAAATTTCAAATCACACGAAATACACAACACAAACACTCATTCACAATACGTACATTTCCTTGGATACGTAGACATTGTACATTTAAAGATTATTTCACTTTTGATCTGACATCAAATCGTATTGATTTCTTGTTTTCACGCGTATTATGTCGTTAAATGAAACCATTTTTACGGTATCTTTAAATTCCCGACGTTTGGAACCATTTCCAACGTTCATGGACACTGGACAGACTGTGTGTTGGGTCGATTATCATTTCTTTTCTTTTTCTTAACGTTGCCCTTACTTCAGGATAGCATTATCCTGTGTTGTAAGGACGTTTTACAAACACAAATTTCACGCGGGAAAAACACCCAGATGCGAAACAACTATCTGTGGGTCGCACAAATACTTGTCCCGTGTGGGAATCGAACCCACGCCCCCGACGCCGAAGCCAATACCTTGGCAACTGCGTCACGGAGTCATAAAATTTTCAAAGTTCCCGATATGTAAATCCGTAAAATTGTTTCATTTAACGTCAAATAATATATTTGTATCGAAGATGTTGACTATTGCAACGGTTTCCAAAGACCCACAGAGTTGAGTCAGAGGAGGGTAACACTGGTCGAAAAGTAAAACAAACACTGGCTTTAGGTAAAAATTCGAACAGTCCGAAACTTCAGCCGAAGGCTTTGAAGTTTTATATATTGCGTTATAAGCCGTTATAGAACGGTCGAGAATTTTTGAATCCACAGCGAACGATAAATCAAAACGTCATACGAAGTATGCGGACACTAAAATCCTCTGCACTGAGGATTTTGCCCAGCGGTGGGAGGCATTTATAAGCTTAGTGTGTGAGAACTGAACATTAAATAGGGTGAGCAAAATGTGGGATAACTGTGGCAACAGTCTTCGCTGTTGCATTAATGGGCAGGGCCATCCGGGGAAGTAACAAGACCGCACACAGGACCGGTCTGAAGTGAAAGTGTTATACACTTCTGCGTTTCGTCCGCTGAGTGAGGTAGGTAGGGCCCACTTTATTATAAAGTGTTACTACACTTAACATCACGTGAACCGCTAGCTCTCTTGCCAGCTTCTCACATGAAAAAACATTCAATCCAACGTAGACCACAATCTGGTGACAATTTGATATAATACTTTGTAAGAAGCTATAACAAATGGAGAAATATTAAATGACTCGATTGCAAAATAATACGAAACACTATTTGGCCCAACTTTTGGATTTAGTTTAACTATAACCTTGACACATGCTCAAGTTAAAGATTGGTAATTATAAAGTTCAGATGCCGCACCGCTGGGCATAGACAGCCCAAAAGGGACGCTGATTAATTTAAAAATACTGTATCAATTCAAATACTTTGAAAGAGTATTTAGCCAAAAGACTTACTAAACTAATCTTAAACTTCAATACATAAAGTACTCCATTCACGCTCGGTTTCTGAAACACCGATCATCACAGATGTTAACTGATCAGCTGATTAGTAGACATCTACGATTATCAGTGTTCCAGAAACAGGGCGTTAGTATATCAACATTTAAATACAAAACGAAAAAAAAACCTCTAGAGATCTCACAATCAACAGTTCTACGTCTAAATCATCTTTGGATAGAAAGGGAATATACAAATAGCACTATGAGTAATATCTAGTTCACGATAATCGACAATGCTGAACGTCAATTTGACATCCGACATGTCATTCTGCGATCTTCCGTTGACAGTGACAGTCGCTTGATGATGCCATCGGATCTGACGGTCCACACGACTGCCTCTCGACTGGCAGCGAGCGAAAGAGGTCGGAAGAGGCCGAAGAGGTCGAAGAGGCCGGAAGAGGCCGACGCTCAGTTGGCGGACTGCTCCTTTCGCCCCGTGAACGAGACGATCGACCGGATGCCCTTCACCGACGTCTGAAAGAGAGAGAGCTATTAGCGATGTGTAACTACTAACTGTGGTAGGGCACGCAACGGCTTCGGCTGTTGCATTAATGGGCAGGCTCGTCCGGGTAAGTATCACGACGCCATTGAAGACCGACGTGAAGTGGACGTGTAACACTTTCGCGTTTCGTCTGGTGAGTGAGGTGGCCGGAGCCCAATTTCCCAAAAGGTTGTCAACGCATCTGCAACCCTCGGGTGCAGCAGATGTAGATGGGCTCGCTTGGCAACTTTTTACATAAAAAAAATAAAACATCGGATGATCTGACCTGGGGTAGTAGGATATCACGTGTATTTACTTTTCCGTCGAACGGCAGATCACCGGACCGAATAGCGGCGTTTAGCGTGACCTTGACTTGCCGTCCCATTTATATATCATGGCCCTTAATTTCATAATAAAATTAGATCCGGGCGCGGTCTTAAGCATGACCACGTATCACCGAGGGTCCCCCACGATGGGGGGGGGGGGGGGGGGGGTGAAAGTGCTATAAAAACCATCACGTGACTAATGTCCCGTCGCGCTCTCACCTTCTTCTTGGCCCCGTTGAGGTACTCCTTGTACATCTCGGAGCGGAGGTACCTCGAATAGCTGTCGGACTTCATCAGGTGGTACACGTGCGCCTGCGGGGGTGGCAAAGGGTCAGGCTTCGATTCCGCCGAAACGGGGCTACGGTGCCGTAGAAACAAGTAGGGTGATAATAATAATTTGATTTTTAGGGTCCCGCATCCGTAGGGTAAAACGGGACCCTATTGCTAAGACTTCGCTGTCTGTCCGCCGTTGAGTTTCTTGCCGGTCTCTAATCAACGGAAACCGCTTTCCGAACCGGTGAACTATACAGCGTGTCGTTACCATCGCGACAATAAATGAACACACATATAGGGGATAACTTTTTAAAGTTGTATTAAACATTTAAATTCTTTAAACATCAATATTTACAGAGTTATTAAATTTTCCAAAACAAAGAATTTTAGAACACCCTTACCTATAAAAGCGTAACGTAAAGTTCATTTGTAAAGGTCACAAAGTATATGAATGGGTTGAATGAATTTAAAAGAGACAAAACATACTGTTAGAAGGAGAGACTTGTAATGCGACGCTGTGGCGCGAATTGTATAGAGGATGTTACAAATTTTGTTTCTTTTTTACTTAATTAGTTAGTTTGAAAAAAAAATTTTTTTTAATTATGGATTTTGTTTAACGTTAATATTTTTATATGATTATTGGCAAGTAGTGTTAGACGTGTGTTTATTTATTGTCGCGATGGTAACGACACGCTGTATAATTTTTTATGTAAAACTTGACGATTCATAAGAATGCGCAAGCGTCTATTTGAATAGAGATATTTTTGTTTTGATTGATTGATTGTCTGTCTGTCAGCCTGTCTGTCTGTTCGTCTATCACCGGGCTGTATCTCATTAACCGTGATGGTTGGACAGTTGGAATTTTCACAGATAATGTATTTCTGTTGCCGCTATAACAACAAATACAAAAAAACAGAATAAAATTATTTACCTAAGTTGGGGTCCTTTTCTTGCCGTTTTTATAGACAATGGTACCCTTCGTGCGCGAGTCCGAGTCCGACTCGCACTTCGCCGTTTTTTTTTTTTTTTTAAAAACATTGCCCTTAATTCGGGATAACATTATCCCGTGTTGCAAGGACGTTTTACGAACATAAATTTCACGCGGACAAAAACTCTCTTTCTTTTTTTAAAGTAATTAAGAATATTAAATTAATCGATTTGATGACTCCGTGGCGCAGTTGCCAAGGTATTGGCTTCGGCATCGGGGGTCGTGGGTTCGATTCCCACACGGGACACTTATTTGTGCGACCCACAGATAGGTGTTTCGCATCTCGGTGTTTGTCCTCGTGCAATTTATGTTTGTAAAACGTCCTTACAACACAGGATAATGCTATCCTAAAGTGAGGGCAATGTTTAGAAACAAACAAAAATAAAAATAAATAAAAAAAATAAAATCGGAACTCGAATTAAAATCTTTCCAAAGAGAAATGGAATAAAAAAACGTCAGTCCAGTACATATTTCCTTTTTAAGGCGGAACTTTAATTAAGCGTAACGGAAGCAGTAGCATAGCGGAAGTAGTTTATCGGAAGTGGTGTAGTGGAAGAAGATTATAGGAAGCAGTATGGCGGAAGTGGTTAGTCGGACGCAGTGTAACAATTTATCGAAATATAAATCATTGTGGAAGTATTACAGTGGAAGAAGATCAACGGAAGTAATATAGCGGAAGTATAAAGATAAATAAGCTTATCGGAAGCGGTGTAGCGGAAGTGGTATAGTGGGTGAAGAGTGACGGAAGTGGCACAGCGGAAATAGTATAGCGGAAATAGTTTATCCGAAGCGTCGCAGCGGAAATACTTCCGCTAAGTAATATAACAGAAGCAGAAGTAGTGTAGCGGGGGTGATCCGGCGGAAGTGGTGCAGTGGAAGCTGTTTCGTGGTAGCGATGTATTTTATTACCCGACTGTGCCAGAAGGAAGGTCATGTTTTTCGAGAGTATGTATGTATGTATGTATGTATAATTTTAGCTCGAGAGTTGTCGTTGGATTCGTATTTACCGTGAGTGACACTGGGTATATCAAAATAAAAAATGACACAGTAACGCGGTCGGTTTTTTTTTTCTTTCATATTTTAGTTTTTTAAGCTATACTATACTAACTGCTTGTTTTTATTTTATTAATTTTATTACATAGTAAGCGAGTGGCATCTTACCTGCGCCTGGTCGAAGCAGTACCGGTCGGCCTTGCCCGACTCCACCTTTACCCTGGTCAGCTCCCTGCGAACAGACGGGGACGATGAGACTCACTGAGAGTGGCAGTGGCAGTGGCGGTGGCTGTGGCTGTGGCAGTGGTAGTGGCAACACTAAGCCGGATATGACGTTATCCATTCGAGCGAAGAGGCAGACGGTAGCATGGAGCAGCGGTCACTTGCTTTTCGTCTGCGTCACCGGACGGTGATATCACCACTAGTGATGCTTGTCGTTACAATAGTTAATATTTAAGTTCAGAATTTTTTTTTTTTAATTTAGAACCAGCCAGCTCTCGACCGCCATCCCATCAGTAAAAAACTATTCGTAACCTCAGTAAGACGCCCGTTGTTATAGGACGGAGAGACGGACGCCGGCGGGTTGTTCCGTTCCTAAGCTGCGCGGAAATAGTTAAAATGGCAACACTAAACCGGATATTACGTTATCCATCCGAGCGAAGAGGCAGACGGTCGTATGGAGCAGCGGTCACTTGGTATCTTCTCCCTTGTACTTCCTTCATTCATTCATTCATTCATTCATTCATTCATTCATTAAAATGGTACAATTAGAAGTAATGACGTCAGAGCTCTCATTAGAGGCGGTGGCGGCTCACCTGCTCGCCGCGTCGATGTTGACCGGCGAGGGAGCGTCCGAAGCGAGGAACTCCCTCCAGATCTCGGCCGCCCTGGAAGCCACCCGCCTCACCGGCAGCGCCTTCAGCTCCTGCACCGCCAGCCAGAACCTGCACAGGGGAGCGGCCAGGGTCGGGGTCGGGGCCAGTCGTCACCCCGCCCCGGTGTTTTTTTCTGGAGTGAAACATCCAATGCGACTTCCAACAGGGTTGCGTTAAACGTTTGACGCTCCCGGGGAGGGAGGATAGAAAGAGACAGAGCGAGAGTGAATGCGTGGCACTAGAACTTTCACTTCTTCCGCGCGGAGGGACAACACGCGCTTTTGTATTTTTCTTTTTTTTTTTTTTTATGGAGAAACGCGGCAAACGAGCAGGAGGCTCACCTGATGGCAAGTGATCACCGTGGGAATAGTTGCCAAAACCCAGGGGAGCTAGAAGTGGTCTCACTCGAGGTGGAAGTAGTTGCCAAAACCCAGGGGAGCTAGAAGTGGTCTCACTCGAGGTTCTCCCCGCTGAACTCCTTGGAGAGGAACTTGGCGAAGTGCTCCCTGCCGGCGGCGTCCTGCAGCAGCTCGCGCAGCCCGAACGCCCAGCGCCGCACCCGCCGCCCCGCCACCGGCTCCTTGCTGCGGAAGGTAGGAAGGTGCCATAATGAAAATTAGAGCAACGGCCTATATAAGGACTCCTCTATTAGGACAAACGGTTTCGCACGGCTGGGCATAGGCCTCCTCTATTAAGGCACCCGGCTTCATAATGAAAAGTAAAGCAACAGCCCATATGTCCCACTTCTTAATTAAGATGTCATTTGGAATAGAATATGGCGGTGAAATATTGGATTGCATGTAAAAATATTAAGGGCACTAACTTCTGTAACACAGGGTAACCTAGCATAGTAGTTCATATCGTACCTTACCTCTTCCAATTTTATAAATGTGATTATAATAAGTGTTTTCTTTTTGTATTGGTTGCATGAATAAATTATTATTATTATTACAGGCCTCCTCTTTTAGGGCACCAGGCTTCATAATAAAAAGTAAAGTAATGGCCAACACATGTACCACTGCTGGGCATAGACCTCCTCTATTAGAGCACTCGGTTTCACAATAAAAAGCAAAGTAACAGCCTGTATGTCCCACTGCTGGGTATAGGCCTCCTCTATTACGGCACTCGGTTTCGTAATAAAAAAACAAAGTAACGGCCTACATGTCCCACCCCTGGGCAAAGGCGTTATCTACACAGGGTTGTGTTAGGTCACAGTCCACCACGCGGCCCCACTGCGGATTGGCGGACTTCACATATCTTCGAAATATTACTATTAGTTGATTGATGTTTTCCTCCACCACTGAGCAGGTAAGTCAGCGCTTAAGATTAACAATTTCATTGTTAAAACGGTAACAGGAAGTCGGGCCCAAAAATTAGCTTTCCGGCCTCCTGTTGGCCGTGGCCCTCCCCCGGACGAGGCCGCCCATTCGTGCAACAGCTGTTGCGTGGCCCTGCCGCAGAAGACCCCCTCCTCCGCACGCACCAGAGCTTCTCCTGGTCCCAGAGCTCGGTGGTATCGTTGATCCAGGGGTTGGGCCACTCGGGCGGCGTCAGGAACGGGTCGTACTCGGCGTACTGCTCGCAGAAGGCCACGAACCTGCAACAGCAAGGGTGAAGGTCTCATGTATTCCGCTGTGGGAATGGACGTTCTCGTCAAGAGAAAAGTATAAGTGTAAATTCATTTATTTATTTAAACTTCATTGTTACACTTTAGGCAAGGGCTACAATGGGCGGACTAAACGTCTAATGGCATTCTGTACCAGTCAACCCTTGTCATAGTGAAAAGTAGTTTTTTTCTTGGAGAAAGTGACAAACGAGTGGGCGGTTCACCTGATATTAAGTGATAACCGCTGCTTATTGACCTTTGCAGCACCCGTATGATTGCAGATGTGATGCCCCTTTTTAATAAGTGAGCCCTGGCTGTCTCTCATCAGGCAGAATGCAGAGGTATAACACTTCCACTCTACGCCAGTCTTCTGTGAGGCTGTGGTACTTACACGGACGGACCTGCCCATTCTTGCAACATATTAGTCTCATAGGTTTCTTGCCTTATTCAACCAAGCACAGAAATATATTAAACTAGCTGTGCCCGCGACTTCGTCCGCGTGGAATTTAAAATAAAAAAGAAATCTAAAATAAAAGTAGCCAAAGTTACTCCTTATTCAATAAGCTATCTGTGAAAGTCCCGTCCAAATCGATCCAACCGTTTCAGAGATTAGCCGCAACAAACAGACAGACAGACAAAAATTGAAAAAAAATTAATTTGGTATATGTACCATGTATACATCCATATGCATTTAGTAAAAAGCGGTTATTTTAATATTACAAACAGACACTCCAATTTTATTTATCTGGTATAGATAAAAGCACATCCAATGATATCCCCATCTAATTATTGGTTTATTTAATCTAAACAGATAAGCCAAACACTCGGTGAATCGGTGGCATATATACTTAGCTATTAGCTTAGGCGTGGGGGGGCTGTTGATTAGATCCCGACACGCGCAAGTATTTTTGCTACACACCGATAATCGTTCCTGATATAGGCGTTTGTTTCCCAAGGAAGGTTTACGTCAGGCATGCGGCCTGTTAAAGGATCTAGTCAAAACCGCTCACAACATGATTCACATGATCTGCCGACCCCACCTAAGTGGGATGAGGGCAGGAGGATGACGAAATGTGTCATTTAATTAAAAAAAAAAAGTGCGTTTGTCTCGACGCGCCTTTTGGGACGGACTAGTTACATCAAACCAGAACCCAGATGTGAGTGCGGTACAACAGCACCAACATGCGACTCACATGTCGGCAAGCACATGTGTACACGGGCGTGCGTGGTAACGCTCGTGATTCACATGTCGACCAGCACATGTGAACCGTATAATGTGAGGTACGGCTTGCGACTCACATGTCGGCAAGCATATGTGAGCCCTGGCACGTGCGGTACGTTCACGACCCACACGTCGTCCGGCACACGTGTACCCTGGTATGTGCGGTACGGCTCATGTGTACCGGCACATGTGAGCCCTAACATGTGCGGTGCGGCCCGCGACTCACATGTCGGCCACCTTGCTGACCCTGACGTTGCGCCTCTCGAGCCTCGCCTTCAGCACCGCCACCTGCTTCCTGGCCGCGTCCACCCGCTGCTCGATGCTCGGCTCCGGCTCAGGCTCAGGCTCAGGATGCTCGGACTTTGAGCACTCAGGCTTGCTCTCCGGCTGGGAGGTCTCGCCTGCAATGCATTTGGTGCATTGTTAATTTTAAATGACCAATGTACATTAAAATTTGTAGAAAGAGTACGGAAAGACTGTCGCCGCTGTGGGAATCGATATTGCTTCAAATGCTAAAAAAAACATCTAGATAAAAGTAAGATTTTCGACGGTGTGGCTATCGGCCGTTTAGCTTAGTGGCTAAGGCGTCAGGCCGTGAATGCCGAAGACGTGGGTTCGATTCCCAGAGCGGCGACAATCTTTTCGTACTTTTTCTACAAATTTTAATGTTTAATCTTAAGTGCAGAGATTAGCACTATAAAAAAATTTAAATGACCAATGTACACCCGATGACTATCATTGTTGCTATTAAAAGTTGTTAATGTAAAAAACCCTAGTGGCTGTCACATGTCTTGCCTAGCATGAGCACTGGCTTATTTGTTTTGCTCATGTGACTCATCCGATGTGTTTATGGTGAGAAAATAAATGCTTACAATTCATTATTGACGCTTTACCAATGTAGACCTGAGTTAACACTCTAGTAAACCGAAATTAGTGGATTGTCTCTTTCCAAAAGAACAATAGGGGCTAAATCCAAGACATGAACGGATTTTTTTTGTTTCTGTCCTCTTTCTTAAGAGGTACGCTTGTTCTTAATGCAAAGGCCTTGGGAAGTGAAGATACCTACATATTCCTCCGGTTGTAAGGAGTGTTATTTTGAATGGCCTTCTATACTGAAGGCAATACAGTACTAACTTCAGAAGAGTGTATTAAATCTAATGTGTACGTAACGTGAAGCTTGATTGGAGCCAAGACAAACGTAAAACATTTTAGTGCACAAAAAGCATTACTTTTATAGAGTGTTCATTACTCCGGTCTCTCTCTTATTTTCTTTTATGTAAAAAGATGGCAGGCGAGTTGGCGGTCTGCATGATGTTAAGTGATAACCGCATAGATATTTGCAATAGCTTTTAATAAAGTGGGCCCCGGCTACCTCACTCACCAGACGAAACGTACTGTGAGGCCGTGGCACTTTCACATACGGACCTGCCCATTACTGCAACAGCGAAGCTACTTTTACTCTCTTACCATTCTCTTTAATCGCGTTCTCCGAACTCTTCTGTATCTCCTCTTCGCTCTCCTGCGGGTTGGTGATGGTCACGATGGGATTTGTCTGTAATCAATATTAAACAATAATTACTTTTGAATATAAAGTGAAACATTTTTGCCCACGGCACTGTTATCACCATGATTTATTTAAAACAATCAACTGTCACATTTTTTTTTCATGCGACAAGGTGGCTAGCGAGCTGTCGGTTCACCTGATGTTAAACCACTTATGGACATTTGTAACACTCGTAGGGTTGCAGATGTGGTGGCCAATTTTCACGCACATACAGTGGTCCCCGGCTACCTCACACACCGGACGAAAAGCAGAAGTGTATCACTTCCACGGACCTGCCCATTCGTGCAACAGCGAACACTGTTGCGTGGCCCTACCAGTAAATAATAATAATATTTTAGGGGCATATTTTTGATGACTCCGTGGCACAGTCACTGCGACGGAGTCATCATTGGCTTCGGCGTCAGGGGTCGTGGGTTCGATCGTTTGTAAAACGTCCCTAGAACACAGGATAATGATCTCCTAAAGTAAGGGCAATGTTTTTTAAATAAACAAAAAAAAATATATTTTCACACAACGTTATCTAGTCCCAAACTAAGCAAAGCTTGTACTTTTCTTTTGTCAATAAATGCATATAATAGATACACAGCTTGTCGTTACAATCGCGACAATAAATGAACACACATATAGAGGATAACTTTTTAAAATTTTATTAAGCATTTACATTATTTAAACATCAATATTTACCGAGTTATTAAATTTTACGAAACAAAACATTTTTAGAACACCCTTACGTATAAAACTGTAACGTAAAGTTCATTTGTAAAGGTCACAAAGCATATGAATAAATTTAAAAGAGATAAAACATACCGTTAGAAGGAGAGACTTGTAATGCGACTTTAAATGTATGAATCAGTTGTAGCTATATAGGATGTTACAAATTTTGTTTATTTTTTATTTAATTAGTTTGTTCAAAAATATATATATATATATAGTTAATTATGGATTTTTTAACGTTTTATATTTTTTATGATTATTGGCAAGTAGCGTTAGACCCGGTTGTAACGACACGCTGTATAAACAACCACACACTAGAAAATCACTCAAGTCACAAATTTCCCGGTAGTGGGTATCGAATCCTAGCCCTCTAGCGCAAGAGACAGGGCCACTATCGACTACGCCAGTTGGGCAATAAGTGGCAAATGGGTCGCATGTGAGCCGATGTGGATTCGAACGTGAGCTGAGTGCACCTTGATGGTCTGCTGCAGCAGCTCCTGGCACTGGCGCAGCCGGCTCGCCTTCAGCGCCCTGATGCGGGACAGCTTCCTCGGGTCCAGCTCCGTTGTGTTCACGCAGCCGGGCTGCAAGTTTTCGAGTCCAGATCACCACCAGATTTAATGGCAACACACGGCACTGGGAACATATGAAGTCATCTCATGTACTACCAGGGACTTCATATTGCCCCATGAGTGTCATTAGTCATCTGTGAACAGACAGAGCCCTCTCACCAGAACAAAAATTTCAGCCATTGATATATTAACTAGATCTTCCTATTAACCCCCCCCCCCCCCCTCTCCTCACCCCAGCATACCAATGCTCCCATTTCTCCTTGGTCCGCTCTTCTGATGAGCATCGTTTCTAGTCCCGTCAGCCTCCAGGGAGACTGGTTGGAAGCTGGTGGGTGATTCCTGCCACTGACACCCCCCCCCCACGGACCCCCCCCCCCCCTCCCACTACAAAGTGCACAAGAACTCCTCACCATGGGCCGGTGCACGTCCCAGAAGGCGCGCTCCTGGCTGTCCAGCACCTTGCGCTCGAGCTTGTCCCGCTTCTTGTCCACCTAAAACGGACTCGTGTTCAATTGTCGACCATAACACGTAAGGTGTAAGCGCTAATTTAGCTTGTCACTCGTTCGGTTCCCTTGATAACACCGGTCGGAGTTATTTAAAAACCGTTACTTTTTAATGATATTTTTATAACGATCGAATTATCACGCGTCCACCACCAATTGGTGACTCTATGGCAAGCATTAAGCTCCCCCCACGCGCCCTTCCCATTTCGCTCTGCGCCTCCGCCTGCATGAACATGAAATGCTGCTTGCAACACCGTAACTCGATTGTGGACGCAGGATCCCCCCAACTTCATGCAATCCCCACTACCGAACACCGCTTCCACCGCCGATTGGTACCTCAACTGTGGAAGCATTAAACTCATTTTCCGGCCCCCGGCCCCCTCCAATCCAATCCCCACTAGCCACCGCCGAGTGCCAACCCTATGGCAAAGAAAGAAGCTAATTCCCCCCCCCCCCCCCCCCCCCCCCCACCTTGCTCTGCGCCTCCGCCTGCATGAAGATGAACTCCCACTTCCTGCTGAACATCTTCTGGAGCCGCGCCAGCGACTCGGCCTCGTAGTCGGCCAGCTCGAGCCGCGCCTTGTTCTGCATCGTCCTCTTGCAGAGATACACCGCGTAGTCCGTGTTCTCCGGCTCCCACTGGTTCGAGGGCCAGAAGTACGGCGTCTGGAACCTGGTGCGGACAAGAAAGAAAGAAAAAGAAAGAAAGAAAGAAAGAAAGAAAGAAAGAAAATCTCTTTATTTGACATCACTTAACAAAAAATACATATTCAATATTCAAAACATAAACAGAAAAATTGTGACATCAAATAGGACCTCCATTTCAGCAAAATGCTGCAGTTCTATTTGTACTACAGCGCTGATTTTCAAATGGAGCCTAAAGTTGACTTCACGGACGAAAATACTACTAAGATTAATATTTTTATTTACTAGATGAGAAGAAAAAAAAATAATAATAATACAAAGTAATAATAGTAATGATAACAATTAATTACGTTCCTTTACAAGTGGGCTGCAAAGTAAAAATATAACATTGTAAACTACATATATTATGTTCAGATATAACATACAATAAACATAGTAAAATAAGCATAATTATATATAGACGTAAGTAATCAAGGCAGAATGAGACACGGAATGTGATTGCTTGAGGCAATATAAAAGCCGCTAAGATGGAATTATTGAAAGAATTTGTCATTTAGTAAAAATTTTCTTCTTTTAAACAGTCTTACTGAAGGAGAACTGTTTTGTTTGTACATAAATTATTTATGAATTAGAGGATGTTTGGTCATTTAGTAAATGTAATTTAAGTCTTCTTTTAAACAGTCTTACTGAAGGACACTGTTCTTTTTTTAAATACCTACGGAATTACTTTAGTCTGTCCCTCGCCTCACTACGATACGGTGGTAGGTTTAAAAAAAATGCCTATGTTCTTCCTCCTCTCAACCGAGGGCTGACTTCCGGCCCTTAGGCCAGGGCTGCCAACCGCCCGTATGTGTTCCTGCTGTTAGGGCTGCCACTAACCTGTAGTACGTGTTATCGTTCTTCACCGTGAGGCAGTGGTCGTCTATTGGGAAGAGGTAGCCGTGCGCCGCCAGCAGGTGGGCCAGGTGCTGCGCCTCCCAGCTCTCCTCGAGCCCGAAGTGCCGCGTCAGCCAAGCGACCAGGTCGGAACCGGTGAACACCTGGAGCCGTATTTATACTATACAGGGTACTATGCGGGATTGATTCCAATTCTGAAACTGGTACGTAATTGTGCCCTCATATTATTATTTCAAATATTAATATTTTTCAAAAATTAGGGACACCCTATTAGAAATTCCTGCCATACCGTCTCAATACAATAACCTATCGCCGAGCACTAAAACTGTTCGCTGAACGCATAATTACTAAACCGCTTAAAAATAGTGTGACCATATTTTTGACCAATTGATATTTTTCTGGTTATTTCTCGTCAAAATAAAACACATTTTTTAAAATTATGGAATGGTCAATTAACATTATGTCAAAGTATATAGTTCATCTAACAAATCACCCTGTATATTCATTTATTCGAATAGGATTAGGAAACCGCTTGCAAAGGTACGGGCGTAAGATGAGGCGAGAGTTGACAGTATGGCTCAAATAATGAAAACTGAACAAATTTTAATTTTTATAGTGCCGACCTCTTCACTTAAGATTAAACAAAAAAAGGAGCGAAGAGTTTCTCGCCGTTGTGAGAATCGGACACATTTCTGACACAACATTCTTTAGTCCCAAACTAAGCAATGCTTGTACTATGGGTACTAGAAAACTGATAAACCTACTTAAACATACTTTTCTTTTGTAAATAAATACATATTATACATTTATCTAAACACCCAGACACTGGAAAAACACGATGTTCATCACACAATATTTTTCCAGTAGTGGGGATCGAACCCACACCCTCTAGCGCTGGAGGCAGGGTCACTACTCCCCACGCCAATTGGGTCGTCGAACCCACGTCTTCGGGATTCGTGCCCCGACGATCTAGCCACTGAGCCAAACAGGCGATTCCCACACCGACCAAAATCTCAGCGTCCTTTATCTTCTTGGAAAAAATCTAACTCAATTATCTCTCTCTGTATTCATTCTATGATTGATTTTCACGAGTTCCCCAAGTATCTCCAGAGCCCAGGATCCAATACCAATGACAATAATATGGGACCACATGGGAAGCACCAGCTTTCAAATAAAAATTTTCATCAAAATAAAAAGACAACATAACTTGAAGGGATATAACTCAACAACGCCCAGATCAAACAAATATTTATCCCGTGTGGGAATCGAACCCACGACTGCCGGCGCCCAAGCCAATAGCAATACATCGAACCTATTACGACAGTGATTCTCAACCTTTTTTTTGTTGTGGCACATATTTAACGATTTCAAAATTTGGCGGCACACAAAAAGAAAAGATAAAAATTATTTACTTACTACAACACACTGCATAAATAGTTTATAATAATAAAAATATTTTTAATGCGAAATTTGAGCTTGATGTTTTTTGATAATTTAATTTATATTTGGTCGTAAAAATGACAATGCTACTCTCATATCGTCTTCTACATTTACCAATCTTGATCTTTTTTTAGTTTTAATGTTGGCTAGTGCCAAAAAATATTTTTCTTTTTAAATGATATAATTTAATAATATTAACATTATTATATATTTGCAAAATTTGGCGGCACACTTTTGAAATTTGGCGGCACACAAAAGTGCCGCGGCACAGTGGTTGAGAATCACTGTATTACGATCTCCCATCTTCGGGATCGTGAACACACTATTTGGTAAAGGGTTTTTTTTATGTGAGATAGTGGCAAACGGGCTGGCGGTTTACCTGACGTTAAGTGATAGCGTGGGGTTGCAAATGCGTTGCCACCTATGAATAAAGTGGACCCAGGCTACCTCACTAACCAGACGAAACGCAGAAGTGTAACACTTCTACTTTACGCCGGTCTTCTGTGAGGTCGCGATACTTACCCGGACGGCACTGCCCATTCGTGCAACAGTGAAAGCTGTTGCGTGGTCCTACCACAGTATTTATCATAATATAAATGAATACGTTAATACAAATATGATAACAAATGAGAATCGAATGAGTTGATCGCTCCCAAGCTGTTTCTAAAGGAAAAAAGAAGTTGTATAACATTTTAACGATTGGAGGGGGGAGAAAATAGACAAAAAATAAGATACCTACTGCGTTTCTTCAGCCTGTTTCTTCCTTCTAGCCTTAGAGGAACCTCATTAGGAAACGGTGGTAGATTAACAAAAATACTATCGATAGATGAAATGTATGTTTCTTATGTCGCTGAATACATCTGTACCTCAGACAATAGTAACTACACATTTTTAAATGTTATTTCTCTTACACCATTAAAATCGGAAGAACAAATTTTAACAACAGCATAAAGCACTAACGCCCGGTTTCTGAAACACTGATCATCGTAGATGTCAACTAATCAGTTCATCTAACTATCTAGATCTACTAATCAACGGTTAAACTCTCTGAATTGACCAGAATGATCTTCTTATGATCAGAACGATCAATCTAAAGAGTTTAACCATCCTTTTGGCGACTAAAATGAAATTTGAAAACAATTTGACAGCTGATTAGTTGACATCTACGATGATCAGTGTATCAGAAACCGGCCGTAAGCCTACGACGCCTAATTAACAAAATATCCAATCGTATATGGCAACACAATCAACAAAGCATTCAATGATTTTATTTTTAATTCGATTCGAGTAAAAACTACACTGTGACGTCAGTGACGTCGTTAAAAAATCCCAGCCCTCTCACTCCCCAAATTCGAGTCGAATTTGTTTTTGTTTTCGATTTAAGTCGCTCTTGTTTCGTACTCGATTATGAAAAACTCACTCCCGAACCAAATCGAAACTAAAACAAGATTGTGCTTTATCAAATCCGTTAACTGTATCCGGCCTATTATACAGACAAGTGTTGCCATGTTTAACGTTATAACATTATTTTTTTATATAAAATGTTAATTGGAAATTTTAATTGTTTATAGTGCTAATCTTTGCACTTAAGATTGAACATTTAAATATGTAGAAAAAGTGCAAAAAGATTGTCGCCGCTGTGGGAATCGAACCCACGTCTTCAGCATTCGCGGCCTGACGCTCTAGCCACTGAGCTAAACGGCTGATTGCCACACCGACGAAAATCTTAACGCATTCTTCTACATTGTTTTCTTAGCATTTGAAGCAATGCTTGGCGCCATCTATTGTTATATCCTTTCCACCGTACAAACAATTTCGAATATCGTTTTACAACGATAATTCGAACGAGAGATGTCGCCATTGCTTTTTTAGAAATTTAAATTGTTTATAGTGCTAATCTTTGCACTTATGATTGAACATAAAGCACAGCGGCGACAATCTTTTCGCACTTTTTCTATATATTTTAAAATGTTAATCGGTTTATTATTGCCGAAAGATTATTCGAATTTAGTTAATTCCAATTAGAGCCACCGCTCGATTGTGCGCTGGCGTCGGATTCACTTGTGCGAACTGTCATGAATTCGAGTCAAACTCGATTGGTTCAGAACTCGAAACTGTCGGGAGCAAGCCCGCTGATCTAACTGGAAGCGACGTGTACGTCGCGTTAATCATAATCATCTTTATTTGCAGAAATATTGTAGACAAAGATTTTCAGTATAGACAAAAGTACAGACATATTTCGCCGCATTGGCATGCAAATATTTCACAAATAAATAATATAATTAAAGTAAAAAAAAGTAAAGTAACAGCCTATACATGTCCCACTGCTGGGCAAAGGCCTCCTCTATAGAGAGGGTATCAGGGCATAGTCCACCACGCGGCCCCACTGCGGATTATAATAATTACAAAAATATTTTTTTTGTTATTATTTCGAAAATATGCAGGTTTCCTCACGATGTTTTCCTTCACCGCGGAGCACGTGATAATTCAGCACTTAAAGTTAAAAACTTCATTGGTGCCGGCACCGGGGATCGAACTCAGGTTGCTCGAGTATATATTGAATTAAAGGCGAGCGCCCGGACACTGAGCTATCACGGCTCCGTATATAATTAATACAAACAATCTAATTCAATCAAATGCTATTAATTACAGTAAATTAAAACAGACTGAACAAAAATTGTCGAAATTTTAAGCAATAACAAATAATATCAGTCGCAAAAATAAATAGAATATAATGTCAAGTTTAATACAATCATAATTGCAGTAATTGACGAAAAAAAATATTAATATGTAGTATTTTATGTGTATTATACAATAATAAATAATAATGACATAATTCAATGTCCCATTACAAATACAGAGTAATTTTAAAAACAGAACAACAGCGTTGACTCACCGACGGTATCTTGCTCATGAAGCTCTTCACCGTCCTCACTGGAACCCCCGTGTTCTCGTCCTGCATCTTCTCCACTATGGACTCCATCTGAACCACAGCGTTACCAAACCACTAACATCCCAGTCGAAGTTTTTTTCATGCGAAAAGCTGCCAAGCGAGCAGACGGTTCACCCGATGTTAAGTGAATACTGCCGCCCGTGGGCATCTGCTACACCCGAGGGTTGCAGATGCTTTGACAACTTTCTGAAAATTGGGCCCCGGCCACCTCACTCACCAGACCAAACGCGAAAGTATTATACTTCCACTTTACGCCGGTCTTCTGTGAGGTCGTGGTACTTAACCGGACGAACCTGCCCATTCGTGCAACAGCCGAGGCTGCTGCGTGGCCCTACCACAGTTTCTACCGCGAGATGACCGGCCTCTCTTTATCTCTCTTATCTGGTAGAGTCAGAACATGTGAATCATATCGTTTATTTTCTAGGCTTTTCGACTGGCCAACGTCTATCCTCCTCGGGAATAGATTGCCGAATGCCAGTTTGTAAGCAGGCACCAGCAAACCTTCAAGTTATTGGCGATGTGATCGTAGACCATCGAGTGATCGTGCTTGATTAGACAATAAAGATTTCAGTTCTCATAAACTTGTTCTTTTTTTTATGAGACAAAGTAGCAAACGAGCTGGCGGTTCACCTGATGTTAAGTGGTAACCGCCGCCCATGGACTTTTGCAACACCCGTAGGGTTGCAGACGCGTTGCCTGTTAAGTTAATGAAGTGGCCCCGGCTACCTCACTCACCGGACGAAAGACAGAAGTGTAACACTTCTACTTCACACCGGAACACGCAGAAGACCGTTCTGTGCGGTTGTGGTACTCACCGGACGGACCTGCCCATTCGTGCAACAGAGTACACCATTGCGTGGCCCTACCACAGTTAGTTCTGCAATTATCCTATCTAGGTTAGGGATATCTGGCTCGTTTTTTACGACTAGCCGCCTGCCTGACATGGACCCTTAGGAACAAACACCCAGAGAGGGTTCTTATCTGTGGGTCCCAATACTACTACCGTGTGGGAATCGAACCCACGACGCGCGGCACCGAAGCCAATGGCCGCCCCGCCGAGTCGTCGCAATTCTGGTCTCAAAAGCAATGGTGGAAAACCTGTTAAGTGGTGATATATCCTGATGGCAAGATGAGTCGGTTACCAGATTGAGCAATCACAGGATGGTGGATGATTCACTCATCATGTCTAATGGTAGACTGTAAGATTGCTTAGCCATGGATTAAGGGATTAAAATATCTGTGTGTGTCAGTAGAGTTTCAAATTATCGGAAGTTGACAAGCAAGCGGGATGTTCACTCGGACATTATTGCCAACCATTAAAATAGTGAGCCCCATGTAAATACATGAAATGATATGCAAAATATAATACTTTAAGCCGGGCAGGTACACCTTGGTACTGGCAATACCACAATTAAAATATATGGTCATATAGTCTATAGATGGTTGTGATTTACAACACAGGATAATGTTATCCTAAAGTAAGGGCAACATAAAAAAAAAATTATGTTGATACCTTTTTATATATGAGGTAGTTGGGAGATTCTTCCGGCGACGGTATTGTCGATATAAGAGCCTGCACATTTGGCGGGAGATTGCTTAGGGCAGACTCTTTCTTCTCTCTCTCCTTATAAATCTCCTTCTCCTCTTTGATGCATTTCGAATCCCTGCAGGATGCATAGGAAATCTAATATAATTTGGTTGTTTTTTTTTATTCATTGTACAATTTTAAGCTAAATGTATAATTTCATAGTGCATGTATATATGTACTGAGCCAACTAACGATCAGAGAATTTACAACTTAGACATGACACTCCTAAAAACTTGGAAAAGGTTTAAACTTAACAAATTAACTAACATCATTTTAAAACATATACCGTCAACACAAATACGTAGTATTTGATTTTCCTTATAGGCAAAGGATTATGGACTGTTAAATTGAAGTAAATATTGTTTGTTAAATAATAAAACAGTACTTCTTCCTCCCAGATTTATATGTATAGATAAATATAAGTTATTTAGTATTAAAGATACATAATATATAACTTAATTTCAGCCAATGGTATATTTTGTTGGTAATAGCTTTTTTTCAAAACTTGTAGATTTTCTAGAGAATAAAAGTCCTTTGTCCCTTCCAATCTTTTGATTTGGAACATCGAAGGTTTGTGAGTGAGATAGCAATAGGTCATTAGGTAGATTTGTATTTCAAAGTAGTAGTTCAAAGTAGTAAGATCAGTCTCAATTCTACTATTTATTAATTCTATACTACAATTGAATTTCACTTCCATTGGAAAAAAAAGCAATTTAATTTGAAATCCAAGTGTTTAACCATCCTTTTGGCAAATCAATTGACATTGAACAAGCCATTTGACAACTGATTAGTTATTTTCTACGTTGATCAGTCTTTTAGAAACTGGAAGTTAGTCATATTTATTTATAATGATGGCACATGACACTACTACAGCAGCGATAGCTCAGTGTCCAGGCTCTCGTCTTTAACCGGTCTTTTCGATATATTTCGAAAATATGTGAAGTCAGCCAATCCACAATGGGGTTGAGTGGTTAACTATGCACTGATACCCTCTGAACAGAGGAGGCCTATGCCCAGCAGTGGGACAGTCATAGGCTGTTACTTACTTTTAAATGACACTATACTTAATGTATATACATGACACTATAATTAATATATTTAATGGATAACCATACTTAATGAAAAATTTGTAGATCAAAACTACAATCCTATTAAATAATATAGAACTGAACATGCTTAACTATCTACCAATTAAGTGCCCTGGAAGATCTAGAACATTAATGTAAACTTAGAAATACATTTGTGGTGATCCTAAAATTGGTGTTGAATAACTAAATATTAATATAATTCTTTTGAATTTGAATAAGCTCCAAAAGATCATTTTTTTCATTTTGATAGAATATCTGTCTAGATATTGTGACCTGACTTTTGGCTGAAACCATAATAACATAAACATAAAAATTTTAACTTCAAGAAGGAAACTAAACTAAGGTCAGAAATATGTGCATATAATTATATCATGTAGGCTTTTATAGGATGTTAAAATTTCAAAGCCTATATGATAACACTAATAAATAAAATTCCAAAAAGAGCGGTTTGTTTAGACCTGAATGAAAATAACGTCATTTTAATAAGGCTCGACCTACAGTGCTTCCGGCCGGCAAATATGGTGCGGTACATACCTCGAGGGCCCTTGCTGAATGGCTTTCTGCCCCACCTTCTCCGAAGAGTTCATCGTCACCATTTTAAGCGGAAGTTGGTCCTGTCACCGCGAACTAGTGCAGCCCTACAAGCTGCTACTCCGGTGCCGCTGCCACCACTTGCCGGAAAAAACCATCACGGTACTAAAGTATTAGAAAACTAAAACTCAATTCCGCAGCGTGCAACTCCGCGTTTCAAAATGCTTATTCTAACCGATGTTTACTGTACAATCATCGGTTGGTTCGGTCCGATTTACAGCTTATTAAAACACCGCTATAATGCCACAGGTTTACGCGTTCACCGCAACATCTCCCGCGCGTCTATAATTGATGCGACCGATGTAAATATTTACGCTTCACTGTTATTTCTCGCCGTATACGATTGTAATTTTTCAATGCAACTTCATTCACTAAATCGCAAAACTGTTTTCACTTAAATTAATTACACATATTGTTAATATTTATTTGAAAATGGCTTCATAACAAAAGTCCGATATTACGCGCAATGTTGTTTATGTAATTATGTTATATAAAATTCAATATTTAATATTTATATTGCAATAGTAGCTAGAATCATAAGATATTTCACTGGTTTTCAATTCCACGATTACTCGGTAACACATAGAGTCACACCCATCGCACTTAACTTAAATAATGATGATCCATGTTAATTGTACTGTTTTATTCATGGAAATTAAATAAACGTAACATAGAACTGAAATTTTAACATTTTACAGAAATACTACGAAATGTCAAAGTACACCGACCGCCATTAATCATTTCTACTATTTTATAAACGAAATAGTACATATTGAAAAGTGATAGCACCTTTCGTATCACATACAAGGGAAAGAGACAGACAGTGCACTGAACTATAATGCGGCTAAATCAAGAACTAGCCCATTTTTCAAATAAAATACGAAGCTGGAGGCCTCCTTAAATCGAGTCGGTTAACTAATAGAAATCTCGCGGATGGCGCATGTGTTTACGTTAGATTTTATTGAACGCTTTATTTGGTGCTATTTTTAGAACCGTATGATTCACTTAAGAGGAAAATTAATTACATTCGCGGTTGTGCTCTAATTTGTTTACCTTAACTTTGTAGCCTCAACATCAACAAGTGCAACGAACTAGTACTGTAAACATTTAACATTTTTCAAATGTTGCTGTTACTGTCGATACCAACGTATAGATGGCGATAGTGGCTTAACTTAACAGCGAATAAGTTTTTAAATAAGAAAGTTTTTAAATAAAGTACTCTATATAGTACTTTCAAAACTATATAAAGTACTCTGTGGCTAGAATAATTTTAACCGACTTCAAAAGGAGGAGGTTATAATTATGTCCGACTGTATGTATTTTTTAACAGTACGTTAATTCTTACTGTATTATTACTATTGAACAAACTTACGGCCAGAATAAATAAATATACTTTTATCAATTTAACGGAAAACACCAATTAGGAACGGAACGAAGGTTTAAATAAAAAATTTTATTAGTACCTAATATCTTAAATACATTTGTAGAGTAAAATATAGGTATAGGATAGGTGTTATGTACCACTATAACAAACATTATAGACTTAACGCCTAAAAGCCTGTGTTTAGAATGTGAATTCACCCGGTAATCCAGAGGAATTTATTTCTACAGATATTCAAATTACTTCACTACAGCGCGTTATTATTACGAAAATATTATTATTTTCGTAACAAAATATGTGGCGCTTCCAACGATCATGAATTTAGGTACACGAAAATATAGTTTAAAGACAGCGAGTGTAAAACCATGTGTATTATTATAACTCTATTCTCGTTTGCAGATTATTTATCCTCACTAATATTATAAACGCGAAAGTTTGTATGTATGTATGGATGTTTTTTACTCTTTCACGCAAATACTACTGAATGGATTTTAATGAAACTTAACAATAATATAGCTTATACATCAGAATAAGACATAGGCTATAAGTTATGTATATATTTTTATGTATATCTGTCTCTCTCTCTGAATCTTACGCCTTCAGCCTATTCTATGCAGACGTAGTCGCGGGCAGCAGCTAGTTATACATATTTCTTGATAGCTTGATAGCTTATGCGCGCGAAATTGACCAGTAACAAAACACAGAAGTTTGAGTAAAAATGAAATATTGCTTATCCATAACAAATATATATATAATTAATGAGGCCTGCAAAATATCATACTTTTATCAATCCTTGTGCTTTTAAAACTTTAAGAAGTTTTGGTGTCTCTTTGAGCAGTCTTTCAGAATACACCTCATCATTAGGTAGTAGTTTTCACTTAAATCATGGATTTTTTTTTAAATTACATGATTTAACTATTTAACATGGGTTTTTAAGTTACGGACAATAAATACCTGGTGTATAATATAATATGGTATAGTATGGAATACAGAAAACTTAATTTCTCTATTCACAGTTTAGTTATATACAGACAGTGGCTCCAGCAAAACACATACAGCAAGTGTTGTCTGTTTTAACTTTTATGTAAACAACTGCATCTATCACAAATTGTTACTATTTTCCGTGGGCATGAGATTTGATATTATATCTAGTTTGGACAAATTCCATGTCATGACGACCTAAAATTTTTATTTATTATTTAATATTGTATATATTATTGCATTGGGTTCGGGTGAGCTCCTATGTGGTCCCATGGTCCCACATCAATAGTGTTGGGTTGGGCCTTAGATTCCGGAGATACGTAAACTCCTCAAAATCAAATAGAAAATATACATGAAGTGAGATATTTGAAGTTGACTTTGTTTTTTGATTATTAAAAATGTTTTACTTCATTTTTTTAAGCGTACATTTTAGGAATTCTTTGCTTTAAGCGGGCCCAGTTTCGATTTCAATCAAAAATCAAAATCAAAATCAAAAATATATTTATTCAAATAGACGCTTGCGCGCTCTTATGAATTGTCAAATTTTACATCAAAGATTATGTGTATAGGTTCGTAAGGTACCACCGGTTCGGAAAGCGGTTTCTGTTGAGAAGAGACCGGCAAGAAACTCAACAGTTGCTCTTTTTCAAAAATATCAGGGTACAATATAATATACAGGTATAATAGTCTTATTCTAGCCTACGTGAGTATCAACAGTATTAACTCCACACATTGGCGTCGTCGAGATATTCCGAAATGGTATAATATGCTTTAATCATCAGTTGATTTTTAATTTTACATTTAAATTGGTCAAGCGGCAGACTTAATATCGACTGTGGGATTTTATTATACATGCGCACACTTTGCCCCATGAACGACTTATTTACTTTTTGTAGACGAAACAATGGCGTAGTAAGTTTGTCCTTATTTCTAGTGTTTATTTTATGTCTGTCACTGTTCTTTAGGTAATAATTAAGGTTATGACGTATATACAAAACATTACAATAAATGTATTGACAAGCAACAGTGAGTATATTAACCTCTTTGAAAAGATCTCTGAGTGAATTCCGGGCTCCGATATTGTAGATTGCTCGGACAGCTCTTTTTTGAAGAATAAATATAGAATTTATATCTGATGCACTACCCCACAACAAAATGCCGTAAGACAAGATGCTGTGAAAATAACTAAAGTAAACAAGTCTGGCAGTGTCGATGTCTGTTAGCTGCCTAACCCTTCTAATCGCAATAACCGCGGAGCTCAGCCTATTCGCAAGAGATGATATATGGGGACTCCACTGGAGCTTTGAATCTACTGTAATTCCCAGAAATATAGCAGACTCAACTGGATTAATGGGTACGTTATTTAATATTAAACTAAAACTTTTCCTTCTTATACTGGGAAGGGTAAAAAGAATACATCTGTTTTTTTGGCATTTAATACCGTATTATTAATAGTAAACCAGTGGAGGATATGTGAAAGTGCACTATTCACGTCGTCATAATTTAATACGTTTCGGTCAACTTTAAAAATAAGCGATGTATCGTCAGCAAACAGTACAACATCACACAACCCACTGGCATAAAAGGGGAGATCATTAATATATACTAAAAATAATAATGGGCCCAAGATTGATCCTTGTGGGACTCCCATTTTTCATCTGGGACCCAGCGGAATTAACATCATTTATAGATACTTTTTGAATTCTATTACTAAGGTAAGAGGCAATGAGATTGAGGGCGATGCCACGAATGCCATAATATTCTAGCTTTTGAAGGAGAGTTTTATGGTCTACGCAGTCGAAGGCTTTTGAAAGGTCACAAAAGACACCTATTGCATCTTGTGACCTTTCCCAGGCGTTATAAATATGTTTGACAAGTGCGACGCCCGCATCTGTTGTCGATCTGCCTTTAGTGAATCCATATTGCTCATCGTGAAAGATTTTGTTCACATTAAAATGAACTAAAAGTTGATTTAATATTAGCTTTTCAAAAACTTTACTAAGAGATGGCAATATGGAAATAGGTCTATAGTTGCCTGGATCATTTTTATCACCACTTTTGTAGACAGGTATTATCTTACAAATTTCATAAGATCTGGAAATATTCCAGAATCTATGCAGTTGTTAAAAATAGAAGCCAAATGTGGAGCCAATGTAGCTAAGGTGTAGTACCTATATATTTTTTTATTCAATAATTTTTACATGTTGAATGACGACCATGCCGGTCCATTCGGCTTTAGTTTTTTTTTGTAACTGAACTAAAACTGTATTATAAAGTACCACCAAAATACTAAATTACTATCTATATTTTTTTAAGATTAAAATGAGGTATTACCTTAAGACCTTTGCCCAAATTGATATCAAAAAAAAAAAATAACTGTGGAACTCGGGGACTGCCGTGGTAAATAATTGTATAGCATTTTTTATCAAGTTATGATATAATTATTGATTTATTTTTAATTTATGCAGTATTTTTTCCTATTCAAATTACATCTTTTGAGTGTGGTGACCGATAAGAAAACATTTTTTTTCTTTTATTGAGTAAATGAGAAGTTAATATCGTTTAAAATATTTTTTTCATTCTATAGTATAAAAAAATCTTTGCATGAGAACATGTACGTTAAACGAAAAATAAATGAAACGA